ACTTTATTGAGACTCAAGCCATGTGCAAATGGAAGCATAGCCTAATCAATTATTCAAAAAACTGAGTGTCGTTCATGTCGTAGGTCTATTTCATGACCTCCAACAACTGACAAAAACCGTGGGATAACATAATTAATGGTAATATATACATTATGCTTAACAATAATCTATAATGGCACACCGACATCCCACTGCGACCGTTGCACCTATGGTCAAAACGTCTCCATTTGCCGCGAGAACAGCTTTCAAGTGAGGACTCTGATCCTGAACACGGCATGGCGAATAACTAAAGTTTACCATTCCCTCGACTACCTATTTCAGTAGTAGTGCTCTAGAAGTTTCAGGACTGTCGACGCTGTTGGAAAGAAGAGAGGCAATTGCAGCCAAACTGCTCAATGAAGTCAGTAGTAACCACCTACACAGTCTGCACAATCTCCTTCCTACAATAAATATCAGGAAGTACTCCCATGGGAGGAAACGGGACTTGGTCCTACCCTTGTGCAAGACCGACCGTTGCAAGAACAGTTACATCTTAAGTCATGTTTATCAATAATATGTAGAGCTCTCTTAGGGGTTTTAGATTTAATAATTATTCTATATGAATGAATGTTTAATGTACCCAATATTTACAGATAATGATAATAAATAAATATACATGTATTCAGTAATGATGAAAAAGTAAATTATACACCGTGAAAAAGATGAAAAAACTTACTGACGTTTCGGACGCTAGTCCTTCGTCGGAGTAAAAGGTCTTAAGTCAGGATAATTGTATAAAATATCTTGGTATTTTCATAGACTACATCCTGGAAATCTCATATTAAGTATATTKCAAAAAAAATCAAAAGAATCATCGCCAAACTTCGTTACCATGTTGGCAAACCATTAAACCACCTCTTTTACTCCGACGAAGGACTAGCGTCCGAAACGTCAGTAAGTTTTTTCATCTTTTTCACGGTGTATAATTTACCTTTTCATCATTACTGTTTCATTAGAAACACCAACGCAGCTCACACTAGTTTTTAGCTAGTTATATCTTCTTATACATGTATTCGAATAGAGAAATAATGAAAGGGCAAGGACAGGACAGACTTCTGGCAATAAGTGTTACAAGCTAAAAAAAACCCAGAAGTCAGATTACTATAGCTATATTACACTAGTAGGTCGGAGTACAAGATTTTACAGCTTAGGAATAATAATATTAAATATAGGAGAAAATAAATATTGTATATGAGACAAAATAATACACACACAAACACATACAATACATAATAACTATTCGTTTGAAATATGGAAGAGAAGTAAAATTAATGGGTCATTTAATTACAAGCACTTCAATAGAAATATTGAGGTGCTAGTAGTCAGCGAGAAGTTTGTCTTTCAATTTTCGTTTGAATAAATTTAGAGAGTTATTTTTAATTAAACTATGAATTGAGTTCCAGATCTTGGGGTCTTGGAACCGTATATTGAATAATCCATAGTTTGTTCTGACATGGGGTAAATAATAGGATTCTTCAGCAGCATTTCTTGTACTATAATTGTGAAATTTATTTACTTGAGTAAATAAAGAATCAAAAACAGAGGGCAGCAATTCATTGTGAAATTTGAACATGAAAATAGCTACATGGTAAGTAACTAAATCAGCTAGTTTCATAAATTGAAACTGTCTAAAAAGAGGACTTGAGTTTTAATCAAATTTTTAAAAAGTTATGAACCGCACAATCTTTTCCTGCAATACGAAAATAGGTTGAAGTGTAGTTGGATATGAATTTCCGCAAACAAGTTTGGCGATGATTCTTTTGATTTTTTTTTCGAAATATACTTAATATGAGATTTCCAGGATGTAGTCTATGAAAATACCAAGATATTTTATACAATTATCCTGACTTAAGACCTTTCCATTTAAACTAAGATTAATCTTATGTTTTATCTTTTTTTGACGGGCATGAAAAATGACAACACTCGATTTTTTTCCCGTTAAGTGGTAGTTTATTGGCACTAAGCCATGTGTGCACATTTGCTCAACATTTACATTACATTCCAGAGAGACTATATCTTTGTCCCTATAGAATAAATTTGCATCATCTGCAAAAAGATGAAATTCAAAGAGTTTTGAACATAAATGAAAATCGTTGACGTATATTAAAAAGAGAAGTGGGCCAAGGATAGAGCCCTGGAAACACCACATGAAATGTACATTTTTGACGATTTAGTATTATTGAGAGTAACAAATTGCTTGCGATTATGAAGATAGGAAGCAAACCGGTCTTTAGCCACTCCTCTAATACCATAGTAATCTAGTTTCTCCAGTAGAATAGTATCATTGACAGTATCAACGGCTTTACTGAGGTCTAAAATATACCACGTTCATCAATAGACCTTTGAATTTTATCAATAAAAGACAGCATGATGAGTTGAATATTTGGAACGAAATCCAAATTGTTTCTCAAAAAGGACCTTTTCTTTATTCAGAAAATTCAAAAGTCTAGTATACATGAGTTTTTCTAGTATTTCATTAAAGATGGATAGAAGAGATATTGGACGATAGTTTTCAATTGAAGTTTGAGAGCCTTTCTTATGAATAGGTATTACAGTTGCTGTTTTAAGATTACAAGAAACAATTCCTGTTTCAAATGACTCATGAAGTATCATTTCTAAAGCCTTAGAAATAGCTGTTTTCACAGTTTTTAAGACATAAACGGGAATGTTTACATTAATATTCATCTCTTCAATAGTGTTTTACCTATAAATTTATATATTAAAAAAGCTTTGTTTTCTGTGGGAAAGGATTCACCACTCTGGGAAATGTTTCAGGAGATAATATACAACACAACACGACACCAACATGATATGTGTGACCGTTGCAGTGAGAGCCAACGTTTCCCCATCCATTGTGAGTACAGCTTCCAAGCGAGGACTCTGAGCCTGAACACCGCATATAAAACAGCCATACTTTACCCGTCCCTCGTCCAAGACGCCAATATCCTACAGTTTTGGTAAAACCAAGTTGTCGACATGCAACCTTGGCATCATCCATGTCCCAGTAATAAGAATAACCATCACAAATTGTTCCCCATTGTCTTGCTAAAACAAAGTTGCCCACTGACTATTGCGATAGAATTGAACAATTTTTGTATCTTGTGTTTCTGGTTTTATTCTCAATTGACGTGCGCTAAGCTACACTACAAATGCAGTCGGTAACTCTATCTTCTTGGTTGAGCGTCCTTATATATACATACACACACGTGACTATTATGATGTAATCGAATAACTAATAAGTGAATTATTACAATACAACAAAAATGCAAGACAACTTGTTGTGGAATTACAGGCTTAATCGAATTTTCCTCCATTAGTGAGTTAAAGCACACTAATAATCAGTTGCGTTGGGGCGTTATTTTGTTTAAATGTCTATGACACATCTATTTCACGATTTGAGTAGGCCTTGTCAAATCAGAATCTCGTTTGAATTGAAAAACTTCTTCAAAACTGTTTAAATTAAAGTTTTGTACTACATAGCAAATGTTTCAAAGACGCGACACCAACATCATTTTTGTGAGTAGGACAGTCCCAGTTAACGTTCCCCCATCCTTTGTGACTACAACTTCCAAGTATCGTCTCTGAGCCTGAACACTGTATTATGTCCAACCACACTTTACCATTTCCATGTCCAAACAGCCAAAATTCTGCAGTTTTGGTAAAACCAGGCAACCTTTGCATCTGGCATATCCCAGTCATTAAGACACACTCATTAAGAAAAAATAATTTCATATAGTTTTAAATAAATTTAAAATAAAATTCTTAATGAAAAATTTATATAAGAAGAAAAGATTTTTTTTTATTTGGCAGATGCAGAGTCTATTCGCTGCAATGAACATCGCAAGGGGCACAATCATCCCATGTTTGACCGTTGCACCTAGAGTTAATACTTATTGTTCCTGCCATCTTTTAATCTTCGAATGCCTTAGTTGAATATGCGAATACACACCATCACCAAACCGGGTACTAGTAACATTCTAACCAGAAATGACAAATATTTATTTGTTTGTACTAGGATTAGTTAATTTTAAATCAGGTTTGTGTTTTAATTTGTGTTAAACGACTGAATTAATAATTAATAATCATAATAATAGTTTATTGGATTTGTATAGCGCAAATCTCAATTGGGATATTTTCATTTGCGCTGTAACATAAATGTAAAAATATACCAAAAACTATACTTATATTAAAATATATGATTAAAAACAATAGTATAAAACTATTAGCGACATAAACGATAACTAAAAATCTGCGAAAGCCACTTTAAGTAAAAAGGGTTCCAATAATTTCTTAAAATTAGTCACAGTTGGGGCTGTCATGACCTCCAAAGGTAGCCTGTTCCATAAATGAGGTGCAGCTAGCATAAATGATCGATCTCCCAATGTCTTATATGTTTTAAAATTAATATGTTCAAGTAATAAACCGTTGTTATTTGAAAGTTAACTATATCTACTCTGTTTCTTAATGTTAATAAGGTCCCTTACGTAATTAGGAGCACAGCCATTAATAACCACCCGGATGATTATAATACTTCGATTAACCTTGTATATCAAAAACAACATCTTAAATTCTTTACGAAAGGTAATAGGCAGCCAATGCAAATTATACGGTAACGGTGTTATCCTACAATATTAGGAATCATTATGAATTAATCTGGCTGCCATTTTGCACTCTTTGAATTTTGTGCATTTGGGGGTCCATATTTGAGGCTATTTGAGTAATCTATCCTGCTAGTAACGAAGGCATGGACAAGTTTTTGAGTAGATTCCTTGGGCAAATATTTTCGTATATTCCTAATGCTATACAAATAGTAGAATGCAGTAGAGCAAGTCTTGTAAATGTGTGAGTTCACTGATATTGTAGAGTCGAACCACACCCCAAAGTTCTTTAATTACAGTCGATGCAGGTGTTATTTCTGAATCGCCAATGGTAATGGTATTGACTTTGACTTAAGACAGTTGCTATTTAGTGCCAATCACTATACACTCAGTTTTGTCATCGTTAAGAAGTAGTTTACCAGTAGTCATCCATGCTCTGACATCATCTATACATCTTTGTACGGCTCCAACAGCTTCATCTTGACCAGTTTCTCCATTGGGACAGAATAAAACATACATCATCCGCATAGCAGTGTATAAATGGAAGGGGTCCTTTGACCACATCAAATAGCTTACTAGCATTAAAGAGTAAATAACAACGGCCCCAGACAATAGCTCTGTGGTACTCCAGAACCTAATTCAAAACTCTTAGATAGAGTCGTGTTGACAAAGATGCGCTGAGATCGTTAGTAAAGATAAGAACGTAGCCTGTCAAGTACCATTCCAAATATTGCAAAATCATTGCAAAATTTTGGATTATTAGTATACAATTTTAAAAATACAAACGTTTCTAGTTATGAGAGTTACGTCCTATTATGAAAGTATCAGCATGGATCTCTCATAAAAATCGCTTGAATCAAATTGATATTCATGTAATGAACAAAACACACTCAGTTCACTTGTAAGTCCGCAACTAAGAAATTAGAAGATTGCATAGATAAGTGTACGTTAGTTTGGGTAAAATGTCGTCAAATCTAGTCATTTCCGATAGAATTTGTTAAAAACGTTGAAGAATTTTTGACATTTGGAAAAAGCTGTAACGTAGCTTTTAGTTCATTGCTAAAATTATCTGAGAAGAGCTCACAGAATATTGTGTAGTTTACGAGGTTGTCGATAAATGTTTAAAAGTATTGTACCTTATACCAAATGTTTCAAACACACCACACCAACATCATATCTGTGAGTAGGACAGTCCCAGTTAACGTTCCCCCATCCATTGTGACTACAACTTTCAAGCAATGTCTCTGAGCCTGAACACTGCATCCTGTCCAACCACACTTTACCATTTCCGTGTCCATACCACCAATATCCTACTGGTTTGGTAAAACCAAGTTGTCGACARGCAACCTTTGCATCTCGGATATCCCAGTCATTAATACAGACCGTTCCCCATCCATGTGAGTACAGCTCCCAAGTGAGGACTCTGAGCCTCTACACAGCATGATCCATAGCCATGTTTTACCCTTGCATCGTCCAATATGCCAAATTCCTGCAGTTGTGATGAAACCAAGTTGTTATATATATGTCTGTTCCTAAATTACTGCATTTTCAGTGAACAAATACACAATTATAACAAAATCAAAATACATAAAAAAATCTAATAATGATTATCTATATACAACAAAGTACAATAGTGATAATATAAAATGACGAATTTCTAAAATTATAAGCTAATATACGGGGAAAATACTAATACATACTTATCTAGTCTTTTACTACAAATTTATAGTAAAATGACCGCTGACGAGTTACAGTTTTAAGTAGCGGAAAGTTCAGACTTTGCATATTGTGCTTAGGGCGGCCCGAAATCTGCCTTCTAGTGACAAATTGTTTTTGTAGATATTCCGGGGCTCACCCCGTCATACATTTAAATGTAAGAACCGCGTCTCGAAGAAGAGCAACTGTTGCTCTGGGTTCAAGTGTGCATCTATATCAGTCACAGTAAAGAGATCACAAGGCATGCCTCTAAACTTTATTAAGATGTTTCGTTTATACCACTTTTCCAAAGTGGTTTTAAATTGTGTACTACGCAAATGACATATGTGTGACCGTTGCAGTAAGAGTTTACATTTCCCCATCTATTGTGAGTACAGCTTCCAAGTGAGGTTTCTGTCCCTGAACACCCCATCTTCCACAGCCATACTTTACCCGTCCCTCGTCCAAGTTGCCAATATCCCACAGCTTTAGTATAACCGAGTTGTCGACATGCAACCTTCGCATCTCTCATATCCCAGTACAAATTATAATCGCACACTGTTCCCCATTGGCCACTATGGTAGACTTGTATAATGCTGCCCAAGCCTGAATCTATCAATAGTAAATTTACATTTTAAAGATGAAAAAACACATATATGGCATTGATAGTTCACTTTTTACGAACAATAACAAGTTGAAGCTCATAATACAACATTGCATGTCAGAGTGAACAATTAAGGTCTCTGATCCTGTGCATCGCATGTAGTCTAACCATACTTTCCCCGTCCCTCGAACATAGTACCAATATCCAACAGGTCGCCGACACGTTACCCTAGCATCTCTCATATCCCATTCATTTTATGTATGACACATTCAAAATAAAACATTATTTAACCGAGTTATCCATACCGCTTTTGGCTTACTTTTAAATAACCACTGTTATTTATTTACATTTGTTTTTATTTGATAAATATTATAGATGGAGAGTTAATAGATCTTTAGGACGTTCATGTGCAAAAGTTCCCATCGCCAAATTTTCTTTACGATTGTGAAGATGAAAGTAGCAAGCTAGGAGTAAGATGAGCAAATRTGAAATGAAAGTGGCCGAACAACGCACGCTTGGAAAGCATTGTTAAAATTCTCGCCATGTTTTACTGAAATATAACTTGATTGTCTCAATGATTCACGAAATTGTAGGAAATAGCCAAATAATTACTAAGCATTTAAACTTTATGTTGAAAATAAAAATTACGAAATGTTATTGCACACATATATTGACTACTTGTTGAGTTGCTTCATGACATCTTCCTATTATTCCATCCTATTTCATCATCATATCCCCTGTTATAGAAAGAAAGTTTGCTTCATTATGAATGTTGCACAGGTGTATATTTAAAAGTAATTCGTTCACTAGTGCATGTCTTTCACTTTAGTTCTAAATATTTTACCCCCGAAGATTTTCGGATAGCTACCAAGCTACAATTAAGAACTCTGAATCCTGAACACGACTTGGCGTACAAACATACATAAAACAAGTTGACGACATGCATATATAGCAGCGTGCATACCCAATCCTTCATGACATACTTTTCACCATTGGATATTGCGACTTCAATATTCTCTGAAGTAAACAATACGGAACACAACCCAAACATTATAAAAGTCGCTTTTAATTAAGGCAGTTGGTGACATGCGTTGGAATCTGGCATATTACCACTGGGGTGCCAAAAATGTATTTAATCGGTCCAATCTTATCGACATTGACCAACATCCCAAGTGTGACTGTTGCACCCAGAATTAACATTTCCCCATCCATTGTGAGTACAGCTTCCAAGTGAGGACTCTGAGCCTGAACACTGCATCAAGTACAGCCATACTTTACCCGTCCCTCGTCCAAGGTACCAATATCCAACAGTTTTGGTAAAACCAAGTTGTCGACAAGCAACCTTGGCATCATTCATGTCCCAGTAACCATTATAGTAATCACATACTGTTCCCCACTGACCACTGTGATACACTCGTACAATACTGCCTATACATTAATTTTCTGAATATTGAATCTACGCACTGAAAACAATACTTTGTCGTAAAAATTCTTCCTGAGAGAATGATTATGAAGCTTTGATTAGTAGGTTGCCTCTGCTGAAAAATAAAGATGGGATAGACCATGCTGACGACAAGCAAACTTGGCATCATTGATGTCCCAGTTATTATAATAATGGCACACTGTTCCCCATTGATTATTGTGATGGATTTGAACAATATATATGATTGTCGTGCGGAAATGGGGTATTTGAGACTTTCATTTAGACGTTTTAAAACATATTTTAGTATATTAGAATAATGTAATGCTAAACAATTTCTCAATCTATAAAATTGAATAATGGTGTAAGTGCAGACAGGGATTCAAAGACAAACGTTTCAAGTCAACCTTTACCCCATTCGTTGTGCATACAACATAATGAGTCCAAAATCTAAATACTGCATATAGTTCAGCCATATTCTACCATATTTCCAATATCCTACAGCCTTGGAGAGCAAAAAAAAAAAATTAAAAGGTTTGAGGAAATAATTATGATACATTGATTGGTTTGCTTATTGTGGAAAAGGAAAGGATTCAACCTTGCCCAAAATCTAACAATTTGAAACAGTTTGTTGATTTTTCCCTTTTTTTAAATTGGGGCGACCCCAACATCATACGTGTGACTGTTGCAGGAAGAGCCAACGTTTCCCCATCCATTATGGGCACAGCTTCCAAGTGAGGACTCTGAGCCTGAACACCGCATGTAGTACAACCATACTTTACCCGTCCCTCGTCCATAGTTCCAATATCCAACAGTTTTGGAATAACCTAGTTGTCGACATGCAACCTTGGCATCCCTCATGTCAAAGTAATTATAATCACACACTGTTCCCCATTGGCCACTGTGGTAGACTTGTATAATGCCGCCGACACATTAAACTACGAATAATAAATCTATGTATTGAAGCGCATCCGTCCTATCATCTGAGCTCCAGTCAACATCGCAGACTGTTTCCGTGGCATCATTCATATCCCAGTATCTATTATAACAATAATCACATACTGTTCMCCATCGACCACTGTGGTAAACCTGTTTTGTGGTTGCAGTAATCAACTTTATTCCAAAATAATAAAGAACTAAAWAATTCGTTGTATCCTAGCCCGTCTTGTCCCAAGAGGCTCTTACAACACAATTAGCATACATGATCTCCGTATACATTATAAATGTATTGATACTCGATTGCAGAAACGTTGTAGTATACATTTATGCATTTATAAAGATATCTAATGAGATGCATAATGCAAAATAGCCATTTTCAACGCTTAAAACCCATTGATTTGTAATCGGTACGATCTAGTAGACAAGAAAATATGTTTTGACAGTCATTAAATTAAACAAACAATAAATAAAGCGACTTTTCCGTTTTGCAAATCATTAAATATACTGAATAAATTAGATATTTTTATAAATGTATACTACGTTTCTACAATCGAGTGTATATATATGTATATCTATATATATATATATATAAATGTGTGTGTGTATATCCAGCATTGTATGTAATGGCTATTTGCTCTATCCAAGTAATAACACCGGAATTCGACGACACCGACATCATATGTATGACCATTGCAGTCAGAGTAAACATTGCCCCATCCGTTGTGAGTACAGCTTCCAAGTGAGGACTCAGATCCTGTACATTGCATGTTGTACAGCCATACTTTACCTGTTCCTCGTCCCCAATACCAATATCCAACAGCTTTGATAAAACCAAGTTGTCGACACGCAACCTTGGCATCATTTATTTCCCAGTTCCAGTTTCTGTGACACACTGTTCCCCATAGGCCACTGTGGTAGACTTGTATGATATTGCCGTTAAATGTTAAATCTATGTATTGAAGCTTATCAGTCCTATCATCTGAGATCCAGTCAACATCGCAGACTATGCCCGTGGCATCATTCATAACCCAGAAATATCTATAATAATCAAATATCAAATATCTATAATAATAATAATAATAATAATCACATACTGTTCCCCATTGTCCACTGTTGTAGACCTGTTTAGTGCCGCCGACACCTGATTCTGTGAACAGTGAATTTATATTTTGAAGCTGAAATAATATGCTGCTTTTAAAAGGTGATGATAGATGTGTTGATCATCACAGTGAATGAGCGATCTAAGCGAACGCTGTAAAGAAAGACTTGAAAAAGTGATTTCAAGCTTCAACGGGAATCGAACCCATGACCTCCGCGTTGCCGGTGCGATGCTCTACCAACAGAGCTATGAAGCCAATCATGTTGGCGAGCGGTCATTKTTTTGTTGGGTTCTTCAAGCCCCCATAAGTAATAAGTGTGGAAATTGAATGGGCAGGACTGTGGTGAAATAATGATAGTTGTGTTGATCATCACAGTGAATGAGCGATCTAAGCGAACGCTGTAAAGAAAGACCTGAAAAAGTGATTTCAAGCTTCAACGGGAATCGAACCCATGACCTCCGCGATGCCGGTGCGATGCTCTACCAACCTTAGCTATGGAGGCAATCCTGTTGGCGAGCGGTCATTTTTGTTGGGTTCATCAATTCACTATATGTAATAAGTGTGAAACAGTTTGTTGACTCCTGTCTATGAATATTGATGCGACACCATCGTCACACCAATTCCAACGATACACTGTTCCTAATAGGCAGCGATTGTGGTGGCASAAAACAAATAATAAACTTCGCTCGAACAAGATGAACATACGTACATACTCGCGCAAGTTAATAAAAAAATATAAATTTCATCTCAGCATGCTAACATATTTCATTTTTWAAAAGTTATAATGAAGAAATAAAGTTCAAAGATAATTGTTGTTTAAAATCTCTCAATCGTTTCCTTCATATATTAAGTTCAAGCTTTGATGATAGCATAGGTTGGGTGCCTTGTTATGAGGTGGTCGTAATCAGAGTTTAAACTAAGGATAAAGGAAAAATAAATCGATTCGTCACCAAGAGTCGTGTATTTCACTTTGAAAAAAGTTTAACATTATCGGTAGTTTAGAACAGCTCGCATAACAGAGAAAATGGAAATGATTCTGAACCCCAAAGAATCAATACTCCAATCATAAGACACTATTCTATATGCATCAACCATAATTGTGATATACTAGCTACTTATAGAGAGCCAATCGACGATGTATGTTAAAAAAAAYTTTCGAAACGAGATCAATAATGCTTTTTGGTCTTGGAATGCCCTATTCTTATACAGTATTCAGTATTCAAAATTTTAGCTGCATACTTTAAAGCTCTTGAAAGCATGAGTTTTCGAGTAAGCATTCCTTAACCGCTATTGTTTCAAATAATCGAAGGAGACCAAATGCTTTTGGCTCTACCATCGTACTTTTGGACTACTAACGGATATCAAGAACTCAGTTTACATATGTTAAACTTTCACCACTCTTTTAATCTATTTCAACCTATTATTAATCCAACTCAGCACGTTGGATGTCACTTTTTTATATTTGGAACTAAGCACTGACAAACCCGTTGATCTGAAAAGTAAACTTATTCATCTCAGTCATTCAATGGACTAAGGGCTGTTAATGTCCTAAATCTAACCATGACTTCACTAATTTACAACCGTTAGGACTGAAAAAATAGTCATTATACCACTTTAGCTTTATTCACTTAGGGTTTATAAGTCATAAATTGTACGACACCAACATCCCATTGGTGATTGTTGCACCCAGAGTAAACGTTTCCCCATCCATCGTGAGTACAGCTTCCAATTGAGGATTCTGAGCCTGTGCATTGCATGTCGTCTAGCCATACTTTACCCGTCCCTTGTCCATAGGCCCAATATCCTACTGTTTTGGCAAAACCAAGTTGACGACATGCGACCTTTGCATCATTCATATCCCAGTAACCACTGTAATGACACACTGTTCCCCATTGACCACTGTGGTACACATTGCACTGACACCGAAACTTTGAATATGTCATATGTATATTAAGATGAAATACTGTTGTTTGTCTTTTCTAATTAAAATGTCTTGATTGATTGCATTACTGATAGCCACTGTGGTACACATTGCGATGACACCGAAACTTTGAATATGTAATGTGTATGTTAAGATGAAATACTGTTGTTTGTCTTTTCTAATTAAAATGTCTTGATTGATTGCATTACTGATAGCTGTGGTAAGGCTTTGATTTGAGCGATATAGTTATGAAATAATCAAACTACAATTAAAGATCAGACCTAAAACTAATAATCAAACATACATTGCCTAGTTAAGCATATTAGTAAACACTACAACAAAGGGTAACATATCAGTCAACAATAATTAAATATTTGAAACTTAGCAAATTGAACCCTTGCGCCGTTTGGAAATTTGGAGTTAAAGATAAATGGAGTCGTAATCTAATAAGTTATTCAATAAACTGATGGTACCTGTAGTTACATAGCGGATCGAATTACTAAACTTCCTTGTAACAAAAATGCAACCGAGATGACGGAGTGACAATGAAAAGTGTGCAATTTACATATGTTGTGTTCAAATACATAAAGTGATACACCAGCATCCAACGTGTGACCGTTGCAGTTGTCCATCCCACCAATATTCTACAGCTTTGGTAAAATCAAGTTGACGGCATGCGACCTTGGAATCATTCATATCAAAGTGAAAATAATAATATGCACACACAGTTCCCCACTGATTACTGTAGTACACTTGTTTAATGCCACCCAAACCTAAATTTAAGAATAGTGAATATATATGTTAAAGAATCAGAAGCTTATTTTGTTTGTCGTTGCGAGAAAATAATTAGTTTACTCTCTATGAAAAAGATATTGCAAACTTAGCAGGTCCCCTATATCACAGGCACCATGGCAGACTGTTTCCCGTTAATGTCTCGCTCAAAGAGAGGGATAACTTCGTTCTCCTTCCCAGAGTTACGGCTGCTATGTACTGCAAGCTCAAAACATTTGCTAGAATATTTCAGAATTGATTATAATTTTTTTCAATTGTTTACTGCCTGTCGAAATTACAATAAAAGTGCCTATTAACCCTTGCAGTACTCTTTAAAACACATAGCTGTTTGCGGGACAAGATTTCAATTCCTCTGGAAAAAAACTGCTGCAACCGTGATTGGCTCGCTATTGTCGGAGGGGGGGGGGGGGGGGGGCTGATTTATAAAAAAAGACATTGTCTATGTTAAATAATCTCTTGCGGTAATATAGTTGCTACTGTTTAAAATTAAACATTCGAAGTAATCCAAAACGCTTTTTGCTAACTCTACTATCGTGCTCTGCGACTACTCTGTATATTAGGAAATTGATTAATATATAATATGCCTCGACTACTTCTTGAGTCTATTTCGATATCCAATTATTAATTTCGATATCCAATTATTAATAGTAAACTATAAAGTACAAAATACAAACTTTTAAAACTAATTAACTAGRTTAAGCTTCGTGYAATCAGTTCTAYGAARAACAGTTTTTCTTTTTCGTTCTTTGTTGTTGTTCGTATGTTTGTTGTTGAGAATAAACCAATAATGAAGCAAATGTATGTTGAGTAGTGGCACTTTGAGGCCATAAAAGTCCAAAGCAAAATTGTTAGATAAAGATGGGGTTTTGTCAAAGGTAGCTGGAATTAAATAGTCATTAACATTTCACACTTTATATGATCAAAACAAAGCTTTCAAACTAATCAAAGGTCCTGCACACCTTCTAATAAAATTTTACGCAGTCTTACCTTGGCGGGTTGAGAATGGAATAAAAGAAAAGGTTTTTAAAATAATTATGTTACTTACTTTCCTGTTGAACCTTTTACAGTATACTTTTTGTGTTGCTTCATGACATCTTCCTAGCAGAACCTTTCTATCACTGTTAGGAAGAAAAAGGCATCAAGGATGAGAAAAAAAGGCGTCAAGGATGAGTAAAAAAGGGGTGAAAGAGAAATTAAATCCATTCAGTTACATCTCCTGTATAGCTTAGCTGGGGCTTTTAAACAAGTTTTTAAGTTCTTAAGCGAGTGCGATCCATTCTTAAATTTCCAGAGAGCGATGATTAAACAACAATGATTATAGATGAATAAAGATATGTAGTACAGTAAAAACCTGAAAAGAACAAGTGGGTTAAGAACACCCAGCCTGAATTTGGGCGTTTTAAGTACCATGTAAATAAGAACACAATCAGACTGAAAAATTAAAAAGTCTTATTTTTTAAAAATAAGATCAATATTTATGCCTCCTTATTATTGCAGTCAAGATATTTTAAAATAATATTTTTGAACTTACACATTGATATCATCTACATATTGGTACTCTATATAGTAATACTGTAATATATACTTTAGAAACATTTATATTTTGAACACCTTTAAAAGAACACCTTCAGACTGATTTTTCAGTAAAAACCCGTTAAATAAGAACAAGATCAGCCTCAACTCCAAAAATGGGTGTTCTTTTATGCGGGTTTTTACTGTAACTATAAAAAATATATTATTTTTGTATAGATTGTTTTTGTATATATACATCATAGTACAAAGACATCCCATTTGTGATTGTTGCAGTAAGAGTTCACATTTCCCCATACACTGTCAAAACAGCTTCCAAATGAGGCTTCTGAGCCTGTACATCCCATGCCGATTAGCAATTTATCTCATAGATACTGAGATTAACACACGAAAATCTACTTTAGTAAATTCTCGTTGGTGTGCTGAATTTAGCCAATGAGAAAGGCGAACGATGTTTTTCACTTGTGAAAAAATACCGTTCACATTTCTGATTGGACGAACGATGTATTTTCACTAGTGAAAAATTATCGTTCGTCCGATCAGAAACAATATCGACGAAGCCTCACTGTGTCAACAAACTGGCGCCTTTGCAGCTTGAGCGAAAATGTCGTTTTATTATTATGGCTGCATTTTGAATAAATTTATTTCCTAGAAATTATACACTTACCTTATCTATAATATTTTGTAAATAGTAT